TTTTCTCGATTTGAACGTTTCCACCGTTCCATAGGTGTTTTTTTCGTTTAACATATTGCATCTATTTAAACTCTCCTCCTTGTGTATTCCAACAAAGTACCAGGCATTAATTTCGGCCCGATGACAGAACCGGGCGAGTCAACCTAATTTTACACTACAAATTTTTTTCAAGCTCAACTTACTCGTGCAAAAATCTGATTGAACCTGAATCTTTCTACCGTAGGTTTCGGGGTTCCTCATGTAAACATGTACCGATTATCTTCCTATTCTATGCTTATCTTCTTTCCACTTTCATGACCAGTGCCAGCACCTGTCTGAAGTGAACGTTGTTTTCTGGGTAACTGGCAATCCCTAAGTCAGATATATATTTGGCTTAATTCAACCAACAGAGATGACGATAACCGTGAAGTCTTACTGAACTTTGGGCAATACAAAGGAAGTTTGTACTCACAAGCTAAGTATTACGTCCAATCGATAGCAAAGCTGGCCTACTGTGTTTAATTGCCGCTGTAGGTCACTGTTATCTGTTTCACTATCAAATCTGTCTTTCCAGATTGGAACAATGAGTGCTAGTCGTCCTTGACCATCTTATTAACGAGTCGAGGATTTCGCAAAGCTCACTTTGATCTACTACGTTGTTAGTAATATTCCAGGTCGTAAAAGCCCTGTGGTATGAAATTTAATTAGGCTTTTGTCTCCATATGAGGTAAGGCAATGTTGGTAGATGTCACAGTAAGCTATCTTCCCTGTCCGTTATTGCAGAGTCAAAGCACCACGAGAGCTCAGATCCGCACTGCAACAAAATCATAGATCGTGAATGCCTATGCCACCGTGGTAACCTGTATCCTTCTTACCTAATCCTGGAGGCCGGTGCGAAACTGGCATCTTGACAGCTCTCCTTATAACGACAATGACGACAGTAATCATTACTTGCTTTGTGAAGGGTGTTCTACCCCATGCCTAAAGAAGACAGCTGCGACCGGCCCTCTTCTTATGTATTGCCTACAATCACAGTCCGTCAGCCACAGTTCTCTCTTGGTATTTTCAGCATGGAGAAACGACCGGTATTTGGCGGCTGAATTTGCTCAGTCAGTGTTTCCTATCCGCTGTGAATCATCGGCATTAGGCGGTAGGCAGTAAGCAGTATAACTGAATAGAAATGCTCATATTCGTACTCCAAGCTTACAATGTACAAGTGACGATACCCCAGAATACTTCACTTTGAGGTCTGCTCACAGAAATCCCTCGATTCTTAAAGTTGGAACACTTGCTACCAAAATACATGTGTTCTTGCTACTGATAACCATATGCTTAGAAAGTGGAGGACCTTGACGGTCGATTATGCAGATGGGTTTGATGGGTTAGACAGGAAACCTTGAACGGGGTGCGACAAACACCCAACTTCTAGCGAGACAGAGCGTATGAACTACCGTCATCAGATGCACCATTTTTCCATGTTCCCTCAGATCCAGCTATCTGCTTCCATTGGCAATGCACAGAGCTGCATTTTTAGAGTCCCGTCGTTCACACCGACTGCTCACCAGTGAGATGTTCGGTCATTCTTTAGTTCCGACTGTTTGTGTACTACAGCTGTCGAGTGTCAACTGATGTCAAATAATCAAGTATTGAATGGCCTGTCTTCAGACATTGAAAGCAGCTGTAAGAACGAGTAACCCTATCGAAATTCTTGTATCAAATTAGCTACAGCCTCCCGGTTTCCCATCTTTCTGGCTGATCGTGAAGAGCCACGGGATCTACAAAATTGGCGATAGACTCGCTCTTGCTGGAGCAGTCTCCCTCACTTCTATTCGTCAACACAAAAGGCGACAGCATTGGACCAGAGTTTGACTCATCAGCAGTGCGCTGCTCGGCCGTTCCTGGCCCGAACTTAAAATGCGGGTTGACACCGGTCCACCGTCGCGCGCTTGACGCAACTGACTGGTCATGTCTGGACGGGTGAACAAGGTGCTATATGCGGTTCGAACGACGATGACTCACCTCCAAATAAGGTAGTGCCATTGGAACTTGTAACCTGACGGACAATTTCTTACGATTAATTGTGGGAGTAAGATTTATTTCCACATCACTCGTAGTTGAACAGGATTCCAGGCAGTAAAACAGAACTGTGCAATGCTTACACAATCATCTGCATACTGATTTGGTTTTGACTGGAGGCTCGCCTGGAACCCAGCTCAATCTCTGGTTTATGATGTCCAATAGTTTTCAGTAGTTTTCAACACCTGTGTTGCAAACACCAGTTACTGGAGTTTGTCGCACTCGCTTATCCTTTTTCATCACTCAGTCAGTTGGAAATGATGAAACCTGTTTTTCATCTTGTGAACCTCGTACACAGTAGTGTGCAGCGAGCAGATAATGAACAGCAACGTTCGCAGTACCGACTGTGACCGGAACTATCAGTTCCATCAATGGGTTTAGGATTTTTATTCGCATCACGTTGATTTTGAAGTCGTTGTGTCTGGTCAGCCTAAGGGCTAATCGTCTTAGATATTGACGTCTTTGGTGATGGAATGTACGTGCATTGTGGCTTCTCACTAAAGAATTATCCGTAAATTAAACTACCCATTGGAATTCTGCTGAAACTTAAATATTTTCATATGCGAGGATTTTTTTAAAATTCTAGCACACAAGGCTTTTCCGTAGTGCCAGAAAAAGGCTTCGAACCGTTATGGGTGTCATTCCAAAACATGTTGAAACGGTTAGTAGGTTTACCTCGTCTGTCTCTTCTTGGTCACAACCGGTGACACTCGGTTAGTTCAGATCTGTGTGAAAATCAACGTCCTGCTGCCCTACAGACTTGAGGCAAGCCATAAATGCATCTTTCTATATAAGATTGAATGTTTCATTTCTATATTCCGTAGCCAAAATCTGTGAGTTTCATCTTTAGTTTAACCGTAAATGAAGTGTGATCCCGGTTTAGTGGGGTCCCCTATCACATGTGTATAACACATCAATGATGGCTTCTGGTGGATACTAACACTTATATGCATGTGCTTGGTGTCGTTTACAAGAACTGACCGACTTTATATGATACCTTGGAGCCGTACAAACCTCAGTATCCGCGAAGTCAGTGCGTTTGATATTCTATATTCTGGGTAAAGCTGATTTCAAGTTTCGTTGCTACGGATGACTTTGAGTCACTGTTCCGGAAGCAACCAGCGATCCTCCTGGGGATTCTGTATATCCAAGGCTTCCAAAATAAATGAGTGTTGCTAGGCCTGGCGACGTACTACACAAGTGTTTTCCAAAAGCACAGCATTCATCAATGAAATGCTCTACGTTCGAGACTCGACGTTATCAAAGCCTGTTAAGCATACCATGCGGAAAAAAAGAGTGCTGAACACTTGTGTTCTTGTCTTATCCACAAGGCTAAGGGTACAAATCTCCCTGGAGATTTGTGAGATACACGTTCTCAGTACACAATTCCCAACAAGGATAAGACAGCTGTGCAGTGCTTCTTTAGATCTATGTATGGTACTTAATTTATGGTCCAACCTCACTGTCAGAGTTCCAAAATAGTCTAACCAACTGCGAAAAGAGCTGCTATTTTTTGATGCGCCTCTATCAAGGTTCTCCTGATACTTTGATGGTAGATTGGAACTACCTACTCGAGTAATGCTCGAATGTTCTATTACATAGAGGATAGATGGCATCGTCGTTGATGTCCTAGCTGAATGTCAAGCTACATAAAAATACAACGAATGGTTAGGATATCGTCAATTTCATAGCTCATAGGTTGTTATCCGTTTAACCCTTTTTACAACCTAACAGTGATCCGGTTGCAATCAAAACCAGAGAAGACAGCTAACCATAAGACTTTGAAGTGTGTGAAAACTTGTCTCCCTCGAGATAAGTTGTCCTTTAACCGCCAGGATGTGCAAAGGCGAGATTTTATGGGCACATTTTCGAAATGTTGACTTTGTCAATCCTCACTTGAATTTTCAGTCAATTCCCTTCAGAAGGATTAATAGAGTGGTATCTAGTGAAAAATAAAAATATAAAAAAATAGTGTTTGTTGAAAGAAACTTCAACGAAAGGGACAATGGCGTTAAAGACACATAGACATTTACGTGCGTATGGATGTTATTCCAACGTTTTCTTGGTGTATTCCACACCTTTACTTTAATCAGTCAAGTTATTGCTTTCGACATTCGAAACAAAGATTGGACACAAATAAAAGCAAGTTGATGGAATAGCCTATGAGCAAACAGAACCATGCCATTCAGGCGAGACTAGTATCCTGCTCATGCAGCATCATAAACCAGGATCACCAGTTCTATCCTCCTTGGTAGGGACTGACATGGAACTGTCGGAATTCTGTGCATATTTCGAGGTGCAAGACTATTTTCATGTCATCCACGTGTCCTGATCATCAATTCGGCTTTTCACCGATGATAAAACAAACGATGTTATCAGCTCTAAGAGAATGAGAAAGTAAGTAAAGCTATTAAACGCAATCTTTCGACAAATCTTTTCCATCTCACGAATTATCAATCATTCGCATTGAACGCACCCGCGCACTATCTGAAGAGGCAGAATTGTGATTATGTGATCACTGGAATTTCCCCTACGGTGTGTTATTTCGCTTGTTATCACTTCACATATTAGTCATAGTCACTCACAGTACTAACGAAGAATTTCTAGATAACATTTGTATAAAGGTCGTCGTTCAGCTACAATACATATTCAGTGCCCAACTTCCACGTCACGCGATGGAAGCACAATAGAGAGTCAGGTCGATCGAACTTCTACAGGAGCAGCTGAAACGCTGGGGCTGAGTTTAAGCCACTGAGCTTCCCGTTAGTAGGTTGGCGCCTTAACACTGGGCTAGGTTGAGTAGAATATGACCGCTAATTAGGTCAGAACGCAGGTCACTTATCGGAGCATATGCTGATTTCTATAGCAATCCCTTCAAAATACCATTCCACTGAGCGCATTTTTCCAGCCATGTACATGGCAGTGCAAAGACTGAAGTTCGAATATCTTTCATTCTCAGGCGTCGCAACTCTATCCGATGCGTACGACAACTGAGCGTGACAATACTTACAGATACCGCCCAGGTTCAAGCGGCCTTGGAACCACAACTGGCGCCAATAGTCCATCACCTGGAGGTCAACCGATTTCTATCCCTGTCCTGCACCTGGGGCAGTCCCGTGGATCTTCCAATTCACCAACAACGGTATCTAGCTATGGAGGAAGCGGTCTCAACGTCCAGGGTAGCGCGGAATTTCGCCCTGGGAGCACCACGTCTGACACCGGTGAGCCTGGGTATCGATCGCCACCATATCGGTCGACCTTGTTATCCTCGACTGCGAGGAGTGGAACAAGAACCCCAGTTACATCTGATCAAGAGGCTGAGGTAGATGCTCTGACGAATCTCTTAATGCGCAGCATGGAGACCCGATCGTCTTCGGGTCTGGGAAGTTCAGTCAATTCTACTGGTTTGACAGCCACATCGGACGTTTCGACCTCTTCGCCGGGTAGGTTATTTTCTCAAGTGCTAGCTAGATCAAAACTAATCGTTTAACCTTAGGCAGACAGGCTGGTCGCTCCTGAAGTTTTCACCTACGAGATAGGGCGATATGAATGGTCAGGATGTCAAGCAGCTGAACAGTGTTGAAAGACTCCATTTGGTAGCCTATCACTAGCCACTTCATACAGCTTTCCTAACGGAACCGCACACTTATGCGTGGTGACCCGATTACACCGTTACTTTCTCCCCACCGTTTGAATTTTTTACCACAGGATCGCGGAATCTGAGTGAAGCTAGCCTAATAAACAAATCATCTACTCGTGATACAACTTACTGTCAACTAAGATGTCATTCATCGGCTGGTCAGATCTCGCAAAACACTTGTACAAATAGGGAATAAAAGTGATACTAACTAATCTTCAGTGAGAACCCATTCTTATGGATTATAAGTTCTTCCTGCGAGGCTACGCACCGTTCAACACGCTAGTCCGGTCGCCTTCTCCCTTGCCTTTCCACAACCAGCTTACCAGTATCCACCTCTATTTGTTACTTCTAGGTATCCGTAAGTAGTGGAATTAGGTCTATATTAAAGTAGTATAGATAATCTGGTAAAAGGAACCAGGAACTAAGTACACTACGTGGCCTTTGCCAGGCTACAGCTGTACTTTCCGTTTTTCACGGAACAGATATTTCATGTACCTAGCAACTTTGCGTGGATATGGCGGATGTCTATTACGGTATATCATCTAGTCTGTTGATTTTGGGTGAAGATAATAAGCATTTTCTTCTATTCAGGAAAATCCTGATAGAAACTACAAAATAAGACGATTTTAGAAGGATACTATCAAAATGAGCAATACTAATCTTTACGATCCCTATGGACAATGGATTATTTTGTCCTGCTTCATCCTCCTTACCAGATTTTCTACCTTTGGCTGCTATCGGGACAGATGCTACCATAAGTGTGGCGTTAGCTTAAGAATCCATTTAGTCAAGTAAACTGGGCTCAATTATGTTTCACTGTTGCCCTGGGATTATGTTTCAACACTGGTGATGACAATAGCTGTTCAAAGATGTAAATGACGCTGCCGGTTTTCTTCGAGATTGGGTGGATGTTTGAAGAAGTCGGCACCTCGTGCGTTCTTATCAAGCCAGTATCAGAAAACTTTGCTCTTCACTCGATTACAAGACTTTTTCTAACTAAACTGAAGTAGTCGTACGGTAATCAAGCGACGGTGTTCTCACACTGGCGATGGTGAAAATTTTCATGCTACATTCGGTACCTCTGCACCTTCGTATGACCCCACTTTGGAACGAGTCAGACCATTTGGGGTACAGTGACGGTTTCCTGTGGTTTATCCAAGTTGAAACTTATCAAAAATGGTTCAGTGTCGCAAAGCTCATTCCTTGGAGAAAACAATCCATCATGAAGTCCATTATATTCGTGGTTCGGTGTTCTTATACCACCATTTATGGGCTGTATACTGTCTTTCTTCATAAAAGAAACTAAAGGCAACATTCCCAAAAGCGAGCAACCTTTGACACATTGAACTATTTTGCTGTGGAGATCTCTCTTAGGGATATCTACTTGATAATAAGCACTTTTTGTCCCATCACCTCCAAGGATAATAACCTATCACTGGTTTTGCCCTTTTTTACTTCGTATCATTCGGTGGAATAACAGTCAAACACACCTTGCTTCAGCTTTCTTAGCGCTATTATATCATTGGATCGTATTTTCCCTATTCTGTGAGACACTTAAAAATTAGTTTAAAAAGGTGGACACTTGTCACCTGTTGAATGAATGGTAATGTGTAATTATTACTTTCAGGCTTTGTTGTCTCCAACATGAATGAGTGACCATACTCGTCAGTTGATCACTCTGTGACATAACTGCGGGATGTCTGCTCAGCGTCTCTTGCACTGTCCGAATAAAATTAACGTTGTACGTCTGAGTGAAGCTGGGTGAAGCGAGCAAGGTACTTCAAATTTCCTCTGTGCAGTTTGGTCCAAAAATATCGTTCCACTAAGCTTCCTCGGTTTCGACAACACTACAACTGAGTAATTCCAAGGTAGTGAACGTACCCATCGAACAGTGAAAAAAAAGACGGAGACTTAATGTATCTTTGTGACAAAATCATCCTCAGACTTGTACATGCGCACATGTGGCGTAACACAGGGTATGAAAGGTAGGATCGGAAATTTTATCGATTTCACATGACTGTACTCAGCCAGAAGTTCACGTACTACATGGACTTGTGGCCTACCAAAAGTTGACAAACCAAGATTACCGATTAGGCAGATATGAGCAATGTGTCGCTTCCCTACAAAATGGTTATCAGTAGTCCGAACGGGGTGAGAAATTCACAGCCCGCGTTACATTTTCGCTTGTGGACGTGATACCAATGTGACCAACCGGAAGGTTTTTTCAATGTTGTTGACGAACGCACCAATGCTGGAAATCGTAAATTAACTTTGTGATTTCTCACCTGGAAACAAAGATATTAGGACCCCTCTTGGCAAGCTAAGGGATTTGCTGCTCACATGTAATATGAACGTCCAATTCCTGTTTGATGGTAAACAATTTAGAGTAGACAAGCACGCGGTGTGGCGGTGGAGTCGCCGCTTGTTGCACTACTTACTGACGTCTTTGTGAATAAACCGAAGCGCAAAGCACTACAAATGTTGTTTGCTGTAGATGATGTTTGCTGTAGATACGTCAGGTTGAGGTCACTCAGTAGTTAAGAGGGGAAATTACTGGCCGGAAGGCCCGTGGTTCGAACCCAACCTCCGCATCTTCACTGCTCCTGTCTAGGCTTGAGTAACCTGGCAGTATCTCACACCTCAAGTGGCACGGCAGCTAGGTACTCGAAGGGTGTTACAGCTGAGCAGTTGCTACTGTTTTGTAAAAAATCGGTGGATTTGTTATTATTATTAGCAGATACGCTGGCGATTCAGTCCAACAAATTCCGCAGTCAACATCACTTACGAGTTAGGGAACCAGACCAACACACGACTTCTAGATATGCACTTAGATATCGGAGTGACGGCTACCTTTCAATCGTAATGACAATAGGGGACAACCATTTACCTGACTGCCATTTAAGAACTATGCTTTCAATGAACTTGTCACTAACTGAATTCTAAAGATCACGAGTCAAACTTTCCATGCAGCAAAACTAGCCGTCTACCGGTACCGACCAGCCCGTGAGGGTTCAATGTCTTGGAGGCAAGGTGCCCTCAAACAGCCCCATGTAAGCGCGCATACATTCCAATGTTCATGTAACGCTAGGTATATTGGTCGAAATTCGAGACACTTTTCTAAATAAAAATATGAACACTACCCCTTTTGGCTGACAAGAGGATAGTAAAAGAGTAGAAATGCGGTAGCTAAACATCTGGTCAACATAAATCACACAGTGGATCATAAGTTACATTTTCTATTCATTTATCGATTGCAGTCCCAGCATCCTCAAATTACTCTCAAAAGGCTGTTGTCATCTTGTCTGCACGATGCACTTTGGGGTAAACAAAGTCATTCTATCCATAAGATCCAGCCAACTTGGCCAAATATTCATCTGTTTAAAGTAGCACAAGGAATAGTATCGCCGATCCAAGGTCCATAGAGTGCTTGTCTTTCTGCTGGATTTCCTAACAAATAGTTTGAGTGGCTAGTTGACCTACTTATTTCAAGAGAGGAGCTCTGTATTATAGAATTCACCTAAAAACAACTATGATAAATGAGCATCGCGCGTTTCTGAGGAGCGACGACAAGCACGGAAGCACACTCCGATTGTCAACCTTCTAGACCTAACGCAAAATCTGCATAATGAAGTCGAATGAGCGTTGCAGTTCTCCGAAAAAAAATCACTCAGAGGAAATGGCCTAAGTGGTTTTTGTTGAGAACATGCCCTGGAGGTCATTCTTACCGACCAGTACAAGCAACTATTACAGCATAGACCACAGCGACCCGCTGGAGCTGGTAGTGACATTGACAACCTCTCCTCTGTACCTCAAAAACAATGACCAGGACAAGACACAATCCTCCAAAATGAAAATTCCACATGTTAAAAATCGAAGCCACCCTGAAGAACTGTACAAATCTGCTTTTGGACTCAAAATTATGGCTAATTCAACTGAACTATTTTTAATCAAACCAGAACACTACTGAATTCAGTGAACTTTCTTGCGCATATTCCAAACACAAGAATATTCCAGAAGGCCAAGGTTAGATGACTGTCACAACGCTTGGCTCACAGCACCTCACACGCAGGCAAGTCCACTTGAATGTGGACCCACAAAGATATTATGGCCCGTTTAAACGCGTACTGTGGTGCTAGGCGCGGGCATACTCATGTAGTCAGCATCATCACAGAACCATCTTTCGAGAGCGGTCAGGGCTACTGTATTTGTAAAGGAAGACACCAGTGATCTGAGGACGAAATCATTCCCACTTTTAGGATGAGCTAGCTTGCTCCAGAACTTTCAAAAGGTATGTCCTCATGATATCCTGCCCGCCAGTTTACTGAGCTACCATAAGTCGGATTAGCTCAGTTAAATAAGAGCTCAAAGCGCCCAGAGAGTTTGGATGGTCCGCATCGCATCTCATCGCATCAATTACAGAAAGAAGCAAGGCTAATAACCATAACCTCTATGTTGCGTGATCTTAGTTCTGGGACTTAATCTCGCGTCCGCCCCACCTGATTATTACTGATAATACAAGTGCCTAATGACTTTGTGTCATACTTCAAACTTTCAGGAAAACAGCTTATTTAAGAAGCAATTACTGCTTACCGACATGCATATTATTTGGGATTTCTAAGAACATTCTAGTTCTACTAAATTATGTTGCTTGTTTGGCTAACGGGGACGAAGTTGTGAAGATAGCTCAGTAACTCCGAGTGGTACTCCAGTTCCGGGTCCAGAATTTTTAGTGACTTACATAGCCTCCAGTCCTAAAGTTGTATTGGGATGCAACAAAATCAGCAATGTATTAAACATAGCATAGGAATGGTAGCTAATTACTCCACTTCCTACACAAGTTCAAATAAATCAGGTATTTAAACAGCCCTCACCAACTACATTTTTCAAGTTGATAAATTCCAATTGACTTAAAACAGATTGATTGAGGAGAAAAATAGTGAGCTTTCAGCCGTAATGTCCTTCCGGTGTCCATCTGCCATTCCACCTGAAGGAAGCATGAAGGCCAGGTTGCCAAGACCTGGACAAGAATAGTCAAGATGCAGAGGTTGGGTTCGAGCCGCGGATCGTGTGTCAAACACTGGGCCATCTCGAACAATTTCTCGTCACAGAAAGAATATGTTCCGTATTCTGTAAAATTAGCTAATACCTCGAGTGAGTCAATACCCAGTAACTACAAAAATACACCGTAAATGGCTCAGTGGGAAATCCAGTAAAAGGTAGGCACAACTGCTGGTTTTGGTTAGACCAAAGTAGTTGACAATTTAGACGGGTCTGCCTTTTGAGTTCTGTTATTCGATGTTCGTGTGCATTCTTATTACGTCCTTCATATTCTTCTTGTCTCTCTCCTGCAGCTGGCAGTCTTAGGCGAAGCAACGGCTCCAGCACTCCAGTCAGCCAAATTAGCAGACTACAACATCACCTTGGGATAACCCCAAATGCAGTTGGGGCCAGTGTCAGTTCGGCGAATGGAGGACGAGCTAGTCCACTCACGACCGTTACTGCGGCAACTGCAGCATCGGTGACCGGTAGCTCATCGACTAATTCGCCCACCGGATCTACATCGAGTGTACTGAACGCATCCGAACATGGTGGAAGTGTGGGGACCTTGTCAAACATAGGGACGGGCCAGAATTCGTGTTTCCGTTGCCGACGTGCTCTCTTCCCGCCCGAAGGATCCACGCTGAATCCAAGTATGGCAGCTGCTAACAATAGTAACAATGTCGTGACCCTTACCGGAGCGCTGGCTGTGCGGCTTCACGTAGCCTGCTTCACTTGCTATAGATGTGCTGCACCGCTACGTCCTGACGCATACTATCACAGCTTGCGCCGCTTACTCTGTCCCGCTTGTGTTCGTGATGGAGCCGTCGAGACATGCTCAAACTGTCGACGTCCAATAGGCGATAGAGTTGTGCATGCCCTCGGACTACCCTACCATCCAAATTGCTTTGTATGTGTGGTCTGTGCAGGTAGATTGGATTCGAAACCATTCACGATCGATGTTCATGGTCGTTTGCACTGTTTGGATGACTTTCACCGCCGATATGCTCCAAGATGTGCGCACTGCGGTCGGCCGATTGCACCAGATCCAGGAAGTCAGGAAGCTCGTCGGGTAGTTTCCGGTGATTCTAATTATCATTTGGAGTGCTTTGGAGTACGCACAGTTTCGCAACCGTCCTCGATTGGGACAAAATTAACTGCTGGGGTGGCAAGTTAGGTGTCTCCCGTACAACAAGTTCATAAACTTTCGTGGAAGACACGTTCTAAGCCTTACAAATGCATGAAGCTAGAAAACTCAAATGAACTCTCCACAGAACTTATCGAATGGGATCTACGGCAATATATTATCAAACTGGCATATGTTACGTCGCATGCACAAATATACAACAGTAATGCGTTGCCTCTTTGTTATGATTTGCCGTCAGGAAGCAGAATAGCATCTACTCATACGCATAAGTGGGATTTAAAGACCTTCCAGGAATCCACCACAAGTATATATGACATTAGAAAGTACGGGCAGAGAGAGTACGATATTGGCGAGTAAATGTTGTCTAAAAGACGAGGAGGAAGTTGCTTAGGTCATGCGGTCAGGAGAGAAATATCAATGTCAGGCACTTTTGTGTTCGTGGGCCAACTCAAGTTCAGATGTCTCACAGGTTTCTTTTGGGTGCATTGCTGCGGGTTATGCAGTCCCACTTCAATCGCCTCTGTAATCGGTAATAGTTCGATCGTAACGATCACAATAGGCTAAGGGGGGTACGACTTCGAAGACCTGTTCTTTGCCTAAGGCGTGACTGGTTCCGGCCAGCTTTAGTGCAGCTCCGCCTGAGCTTGGCTTTTTCCAACCACCACAGAGACACGTGATTATGTTCCCGTTTCCGTTAGGCAAGTGTCTTTTTGTAGAGCATTCGGACGGGTACAAACAGAAGCCCCTGATAGAGGTTGGTACTTGGCCTTCAAATGGGACCTGGCAGTGTAACTAAAACTGAGACCCAAGCACACATCAATAGCCATGTATGTCGTACCAATGAGATGTCTAGGTTCCCTGGTTAAACAAGTGAAAAGCATTGATACCAATATTATTGTGTGTATCCGTGCTGCCGGTGCAACAATTCCTAACCTCTATTATTCCCAAAGATGCATAAACCTTGTATACCCCTTGAACTCATGCTTAGTTCTCTTTATCATGTCTTGTTTAGATGGCTCACGGCCTGTCAGAAATAGCAGAAAAATTTCAACACCACCTGGGATACTTTCGCCCAACCAAATTAGATACCAAAGGTGAACAACCACTGTTTTCCCCCTGACGTCCTGCCTTAGTTTACTAACGTAACACCATGCGCCCAAAAGAAACTTGTGCTACCTCTAAGCTTGAGTTCGCCTACGAACAATCCAGTCTCACAAACCCGTCTGACATTAATGCCACTCTCCTGACCCCATGACCGATGTGACCCCTACCTCGTCTTTCTAGAGAGCATGTACTCGTCGATTTCGCATTTCCTTTGCGTGTAATTCCTCATGTCATAGAGACTTGTGATGTACTGGCTAAGAGGACTACCCACCAAAACAGATTCAGCATGTAAACGCTTAAGTATCGAATCCCGGCACCCAGCCCATGATTCATCTTAAAACACAAAATATGTAACACAGGGCACAATCCATTAGGGAAAACTGTTGAAGTCATACTGAGCAGGTAATGTATTCATACCTCTTCCTGCATAATGAAAAATGTTTCAGGCACGGGAATAAGCACTCACAGTCCATCGCAGAACCCAACTGTGGAGAAAACCTAGAACTACAATACAGAAGGTAAGCAGCATACGCTCTAGATGAACGTACGCCGAGCGCATTTGTGTGACTACCATACCCGATGGATAGTACTATGCCATGTAACTTCGAACTTAACATATCACCCTGAAACAACAGAGGACGCAAGTGAAAACGGAAACCCAGATGCTGATGACACACAGGAAGGCTAATCACCGGGATTGTTGCACTTATTCCGGTCAAACCCTAATGTTGTGTGAATACTATGAAGTTCAGTTCCATGTTTCCCTTCCCGCCCTCCAAAGATCGGATTGAATTTATTCTGAAATTCCGACAGATGACGTTAAAAAGAATGTCACCAAATTCGTCTAAATTTGGGTTCGTCACATCCCTTTACAACCACTGGCAGCTGAGTCATAGTGCGTAAATCCTACTCAGATTAAGTAGAATGCGATCTGCCAGCTCTCAACAAGAACGACGCTGATCTACAGAGCTTCCCATTTACTCCCTATGTTGACTTTGTCCTCTAAAAGAAATCGAGTTATATAATCGAAGAGGGATGATATTCGAAATCTAGCCGATAATCTTTCTAACTGCTTTCTAGTTGCCTGGTTACAGATTTGTCGACACCAACCTACCCGAACTGTGGTTCTGACACAACCGTTGTCAAAAACCTGAAGACATATCTGCTTCAGTACTCTGTTCCAATACAAAGCAGCCGTAATGTAACCTGACACACACGTCCCTTGAAGTTCAGAAGCATGACCTTACACTTTGAGGATGCGAAGAGCAAACCAAGAGACGGGATGTATTTGGCCAGTTCACCCAAAACTACCTGCGCCTTCTTCTCAAAAGCGAGAACGATATCGTCTGCACATCTTAGACAGGCAAGGTTTTCGCCGCAGGCCATTTGAACACCGGGGTTTTGAAGACCTTCCACCATTCATCCCATTATTTGCATCGATCGCGAAATCAAATAGAAATTGAAAGGTTAGGTATCCCTGAGGGACACCTGTTTGTGTACAGAAGCTTTTGTGGAACTCGCCGTATACTCTCACACGTCCGGAATCCTGGGAATACAAAGAGCTTATTATGTTCACGATGTTCAGGGACATTCCTTGATCGACGAGTGTCACGGAGAACACATTGGTCAACCGAGTCGAATGTGGGTCGTTTGTACGTAAAACGTTGTTCTAGAACCGGCGGAGTGTGGAATTACGTCAAACCAACTCCTACCAGGCTTGCTGCCCTCGAGTCGGTGTTTCACGAGACACTATAAGGCGACAGCGTAAGTGACGCTGAAAGTTTCATTACGACCGGGGTCAAGCTGATCTCCCTGTGTTTACCACGCTCACTACGAGCCACTTTTTTTAAACGGGGTACTACCAAAACTACAGGTCAGTGGGTTACGGAGGTACACAAACTGTCACACCATAGTAAGGTAAAGGCTCCTCCTGATGGTAATGCGAATTGAAAACCGATTGCCACGAAATCCCGTCGTCATACAGCGGAAGACAAACAATTCATACTAATCAATGCTCACTTATGGCATGATCAAAGCACAAACATCTCCACGAACAGTACAATTGATCGTAACGCACAATGCGAACCATAAGAGACCCACGGTCATAGAGTACAGCCAGACCATCAATCGCTTTACCTACATTAAAACTTATACTCTACCAAGACTGAATCATTTGATACAAACCATCGCACATTATACCGTCTACAGTACTCTGAAATCCTAGAATGTACATCAGGTCTCAACAATCGAAGCGGATGAACGTCACTGGATTTCTGTCACAGAGGCTGACCGCTGATGTGGTGTGACGGCTTGCGTACCTCCGTGACCATGGTCCTCCAGGTTGGTGGTTGAAACATGTGTGGCGACTTGTTCCGTAAAAATGATAGTGTATTTGCCGCCTAACACGGCTGCCTTGCGTTCAGGCATTCCATTGATAGCCTTAATCGTCCTTCTGTCTGGGTGTAGGCACGATGTCAGTATCCCGGCCCACAAACAATCATGAACTGCACATTCAAAGCAGGCACAACAATCCGATGAACTGATGTATCCCAGGATTCGTGTAGTAAGAACGATTAAATCTTAACTCAGCCGTTTCTGTGCCGAAGGCTGAGAATTACGTGCCAGGCTGTCACAGCATCAAAGTTTGAAATCTTTCCGATTGATTGAAAGTTTGAAATCTGTTCCAAAATTACGGTGGTCTATATCCAGTAATCTTCGCGGATTATGCGCGCGTATAGCAATGCCTCGATAGCATTTATGTGAATCGTGAAGGCATGCGTTCTAACCACAGAATATTACTTACAACACACGTGAACTGCTTCACATGCATTAAGTCCGCTTGATGATACAAGACCACCACCGGTCTTCGTCATACAAGTCGTAACGGGCTTTCGGGGCATATCTGCTATGCCACCCGGAAGAAGAACAAGGTCTGTGATACAGTCCAAGCCTAAAAAGGAGCAGTAGCGATATCGGGGTTGGACTCGAATAATGCAGCTGGAAGAAGAAGTCTGTGATACAGTCCAAGCCTAAAAAGGAGCAGTAGCGATATCGGGGTTGGACTCGAATAATGCAGCTACTGGTCAGCGAGTTCGCACCTTAGCCATTGAGCTATCACGAATTTGTCAGTGGTCCCTGGTAGAAGTGTGGTTAACATCGGGAAGAATCGTTCGAACCAAGAGGCATACGTGACGAACGGACGAACTCTGAGTCGAATATTCACTTTTAGGCTTACATTTTATATTATTCTTCACATCTGGAGGAACAGTTCTCGCATTATGGACAGTTAAAACGGATTATTACTAGGGGCTCACCCACCCAATTTGTTCAAGGGATCTCGGTAACCAACTCAGGGTTTCCGTCACTTTCGCAGCGGTCCCAAGGCCAGTCTTTTCACCTTGAGGTGCCTTATTTTCAGATCCATTACCTACAACGAAATGGTAAACAAATCCGCTGAGCAACACACATTGCCACATCAGTCCTCTACCGAACGTTTGTGGGAGGACAGGACGCGACTAGTTACTTCGTTACCTCGTTGCCACATCAATAAGGCGCGCAGTCAGTCCCCGAACTGGATGAAACTACCATAACTAGTGGACCAATGGCATTCCCCTCACACCTGTATTGTCAGAATATTCCCGATGACACAGGTTGCTTGACACTCGGTTTGACGGGTCCCTTGTTTGCACTAGATTATTCAGGACTCGTCTCAAATAAACGCCTAAAATTGCGTTGATCAATAAGGACTAAAGGTGCATCCAGGGATAGTGCAAGCCACCTCACGTGCTCGTGTGTGAACCTAGATGGTGATCTACGAAGTCACCATCAGCAGATGACAGGCGAGGAGGTCTGCTTCAATGGGTTTCGATAAATCTGTGTTAGAGACCACCAAGTGTTACGTTCGATGAGCGATATTCCGTGAAGTTTCCTCGGCCTGGCTGGACAGGAATGGCTTATTTCTCACGTCATCGTCTGAGGATTCAAGCTCTTCAAATGAACTACAAGCCACACAAATGGTCTTCGTCGAATGACTCGCTTTTGAAACACCGTTTACTCATGAATGAACAGAAATCAAACCTCAAGCTGGTGTTCGCACCCCCGGATGCCCTGAAGATCACAATGTCTCCCGCGCATTTCAAGGGACTGTAATTTTTCCGATCAAACCAATGACAAGATTCTCGGAGCCAAGAAAAGCGAAGAATTGATGGGTCCACAACTATTCCTGCAAAGCCGCCAACTGTTTGCTGTGAAATTTGGTAAGGGGCTAATACTTATGGAAACAGTCGTCGGGTACTTAGCATTCTAAATAAACCGGATCAATGCGGGGACGAATTTGCGGGTTATTTACGATGAATGTCATCTTGCGGGGCAGCCGTATCAATCCCAGTGGTCTCGCGAAGGATACATTCGGATTAAGAAGGCCAAAGCAGCTTTCTTGAAACTGCAACACCTGTGGTGTAGGTGTGACATTGCCAAGGGTCGATTTTACAATGATGCGGTGCATTCTAGATCATACGGGCCAAAAACCTGGCCGCTGCGCCTCTCCATCCTCCCGGAAAACTAGACGAATCCCACTCGAACCTATGGTTAATGCTCCAACGGGCAGTT